CCGTTCCACCAGCGAATATCTCGACTATCCCAGCTCGACCTGCATAATCGCAATTAACTGCTGAATTGTTGGGGACTTTCTAGTTTGATGCTGTTTTGTTCTAAATTGTTGATAAAAACCGCCAACATTTTGTAACTGCCGCATATTTATTAGTAGAAATATGTTTATATAATACCGTTAATTATTCATTATAAGTTACATTTTGCTAAAAAGTGGAAATTTTCTATAATATTTTTTGTTCATTGATTTGTTCGTTGACTTTCAGTTGGCTCAATGAATTTATTTAATATCAAATTTGTCTCGCCCTTTTCTCAACTATCAGTTTGAGGATTTCCTTATCAAACGCGTTTCAATCGCATTTTCGGATACTAAGAAGCATTTTTATCGCATTCACATTATTCTAGATAGCGACCTACGTTCTAGATATTACTAAAGTTGAGGTCAATTCTAGCTTCTTATTGAGTAAGCATTGTAGGTCCAAAATAGTGAAGGCAGACAACATTAAGGTCAGCCATAGGAGGAGAATCACGCTTCGAGGTTTAGACAGATGGGTCAATGTATTTGCGGGATTCTTTACGTGGAAAACGGTTGAGGACATTTTCTTAGTCCTTGCAGGAGCATTTAATTTTATACCTCAAAATTCGAAAATACATCGAAGTTTAATCTTCCTATAAGAGTTTCTATGAACCTGATTGTTTATTAAAACAATCTTTTTGGATAGATTACAAAGTTTACTATAAATAACAACTGAGCACTATCAAAAAAAGCCGCAAATAATATTAGAATTTTCATGCAATCATGTTGAACGGTCATGGTATACAAAATAGTCTGACGATACCATACACGCGATTCGAAACGTTCGCTTAGCAACAGTAAAAGGCAGTAAAGCTAAAACGATGAACTCGACTGAAGGTGAGACGAAGGTCGAAATACTGCGCGCTTGGAGAGCCAAAGCGTTGCCAGGTTTCAATCGTGCGTCGTGCACGTAATTTAGGACTCTGAGCCGTCAGCTGGGCCGAAATCAATTCTGATTATCAATTTTTCGAAATGTCCATCAGCTGCCGTTTTTCTATGTAGAGCATGGGACATGTTGCAGATAATGTTTGCGGACCCATAAAGTAGTTAGATGCTCAGCAGATATCGGCTTGGAGTCAATCTATCAGAGTTTCATTATATAGCAAACGACCCCAGCCCACTTATACCCCATAGACATCACTTTAGCAAGAGGATTGCATGTGAATTTAGTAGCTCAACAAGTAATACCTTTCCAATAACCCTCGTAAGGAGGACACAAAGAAACCATAAGGATATAACTGTGACAACACATTAGGAAGCGCCTACATAGAAATAGGCCATTCTGGATTCGGCAAAGCTACACCAAGGGAAGAGCCTACAATGGCATTTTCCATTATCCAGATATGGATACCCTTTTCAAGCAGAATTGAGTGAGGACCAGATAGCTACTCGTACTCATGTAGCATGGGGAGGAGTCCGATCTGGGATGCGCGATGAACGCGTTATTGGTTCAATGCCGAATTGGCAACGTTGCCCCTTTTGGCACACTCCGACTTCGGCAGTCGTTTTACTCGTGTCCAGCGTGTTTTCAACAGCATCTGAGTGGAATAATATTTGCTTTTCACGATTTGGTAGACCCTTAAAGGCCAATTTCATAATTCCAAATAAGTATAAATCGACATTTTCATGTGTATCTGCGAGTGTCAATAAGGTGAGTCTCGTCAATTGCATGTTAGCTTTACCTAAGTAGCTAACCTCAAAGGTTACCGAATTTAACAGTCTGGTTGACATGAACAGCACGCCATTTTGTAGCCGACCTAATCTCAAGGTCGGCATAACGGAAAATAACTGAGGTTATGTAGCGAAACAAAATGGCGGTTTGTTAGATGGTGGGGGAATGTACGAGGGAGCATCATTTATTACTCCAATTTAGAAAATTGAGGTTATGCTGCGTGCGCATAATAGAAAGCGTGGGGGAAGTGTACGCGGAGCGATCATCTATAACTTAACACATACAATGTTCAATTGAGCGGTTTTTGACCAGAAATTCCATTAATGGCTTCTCTAATTGTACGAACGGTTCGGTAGTTTATGGTAACCAGCCAAGCTAGAAAGAATCACAGAATTTACTATTTTTACATTGTCTATTAGCTTTAGCGTCTTATCCACAGTCTACAGGTGATGTTTACATAGCAGATTTTGTGGGTTTAATTGGAGAAACCTTACTGGCTTTTTATCTTAGTTGTGTTTCATCATGCAATGAATTGATCGCTTTGAAGAGAAAAACAAGTAAATTTTCGATATGATTGGCTAAGTGGTTGATTCAAATAAAGGAAAAGAATGAAGAAAAGTGATTTTCTGAGTTGAAAAAAGTTCATATTGTTTGAAACAGAACGCTCAGCTTTGAAAATACTGTGGTCTGCACAAGGCAGAGAAGTCATGAATCATCTATTTGCTATCGTATGTTTGCTATGGGGACGGTTTGAAAAGTGAAAGTTTTAATCAAGACCTTAAAAAGGGTAATATTGAAGGTGATTTTGATTTGGCTGTGAATTTTGGTTCCATTGCTTGAAAATGGGGAATATAAAATAATAAATACTAAGCAAAATGCGATTGTATAAATTGAGATACTAGAATAAACCAAGATTAAAAAATATATAAATAATTAATAAATATCGATAGGAAACGTCAAAATAACGTCGTCAGCGATAACGATTCTCCCACCTAAGCGCTGACCTCTCATACCGACCACGAACAATGGAAAAATTTGGAATGTTCCATTTCAGAATACAGGGGCAGACTGGTAGTAGATTTTGTGCGCACCGGCAACGCTGTTGTTATTTGGGATCATGATAAACACTCGCGGGACATTTCCGGTTTCAGACCATTTGCATCCGGGTTCCGACCCAATTGAAACGTCAAAAAGACAAACTGAAAATTTGGTTCGTTTCGGTTTCCTTCCGAACAAAAAAATCATATGAAAGGCTCGTTTTCGAAAAATATCGTTGAAAAAAAGTGAAAGATTGACACAAATAGACTGCGCCCCGTATAGTCCTATTTTTAACGCGTGTTGGACCGACGACAATTTATTGGCTGTTTCTCGCGCAAACAGAGACAATGAAAAACACTGTCCCAAAAATCATCAAAGACAACGTGGTCAGTAAAATCGCTGCAGTTTCGAAAATCAAAAAAATACCTACTAAAGACCCTGATGACGGGGGGTGGTCTTGGAAGAAACACATCCCTTGAAGCATGATCTAAATATGCGCCCAGTGGCAGTGCGGCAACTCCGCCTAGCGGTTCAAAGTCCCCTCCGCCTTCTCCGATGGGGGATTGGCATGGTTTTGTTGCAGTCTGACGGAGGTTTGAAGGGCCTCCAAATGACGAAGCTGGTCATTCGCCTGAAGTCCAAATGTGAATTTGGAGAGAATTTTCTGTGGAGAATTCGGCAGAATTGGTCTGAACACTACCAATTATATACTACAGGAGGATGAAGAAGCCGAAACTTTGGCTGGGTGTCCAGAGGCCTGGAGGCGGCTCCGGGCAAAGTCTTTTGCTTCCTCATATTATGTTTACATTTACTGCATTGACTCAAATTGAGCATTGGGTGGCCAAAGCAACGAAAAGCATTGCAAAACTGATTACTATGATCTATGGATAGTGGAAGACGCATGCTCAGTAACGGATAAATCAATATAGGTCAGATGCTGCCTTGTGGTTCAGCGCTGGCCACGGACTGTGAGTTTCAGGCGGAAAACTCGTTTTCCGTGTTTTCGACAAAATCCCGATAAAAGCGAAGAGAAGATAGAGAGCGACCCGGGAAATGTTTGGAAGAGGAAACGGTCGATCGTGGAAAGTGCAAAGTGGACAACTTTTCCGCTGCTTGCAAGGGAATACTATCAAAGAAACTTTTATCTCCATCTTTTTAAATAGTTTCTGAATTAATTTCGAAGCACTAAAAAATTGGTTTGTTGAAATTTAAATCAATCAGAATTAGCCGAGTTAGCTGCGTAGGAAAGAGGATATTTCCTTAAGATACCTTTCGGCATTTTAAAACTCAGATAAAAAGCGCATTTTTTAGCTTCTTTTATTCAAAGGTTTACTTTTTCTTAGTGACCTCCAGTTTTTTCCTAAATATGTGCCACTTTGAGTTTGTTATGAGCTCCAGACGACTAAAGCTGGAATCTCACCTACGCAATCGTTGCTGCCATTTATTTGTTATAGTGTTTTTGCGACACACTAGTGCGATTTTGCTTGGCAAATGAGAGCGATTAAATGACCAACTTAACAACATTAAGACTGTGCTGTGCGATTATGTCCTCTAGCAGAGTAAAAGTGAAGTGACAATACCAGTTTGTCCTCAAGTGTTTCTACCGGGCTGTAATAACATTTGAAAAATAATGAATAATGGATTACGAAAAGATTGGATATCCATCAGTTTTCCTAATATCGGCCTTACGCAAATAGTACACCTTTTCTCACCAAAACACCCGAGTTGCATGAAAATTGCGTGCAATTAATTGCACAATAGAAAATTGCTTACAAAATCACCTAATGTAAGCCATAAGCGCGTACAGTTTGACAGTTGCTGCAACGAATTGCGTATGTGAGAACGTAGCCTACAGCCCACAAGTTATCGTTTTTATCGGTTTCTTCAAAATCCCATAAACAACTTCAGAAGCCTTCTGCCACCAGAATAGTTTCTCATTGGACCATCAGGAACCATGATACACTGATTATTAAAATGTTTTGAAGTTGCTCGACTCATACTGCCTCAGACCAGCAGTCATTGCTATTAGTTAGACTGTTGCTTCAACTCAAATATATAATTAATTGCATGACCCCTGTAATAAAAATTTCGAAATAGTAGTCAGTGACCTCATCTTCTGCACTGGCCTCAATTTGCCAATACTTGATTCATAATCAGTTGATCAGATTACATTGAAACTGACAGTGTAGGATACTCGAAAGCCTTCCACCACTACCTCATATTGACTCTTGGACGCTTTGGTGTCCACATGCCCAAGCTGTAGAGTGTAGAGCCTATTCAATGCCTCAAAAAAAGAGAAAATAACCGCCAAATTAACGAATTTAATGCGCTTTAAGATAAAGATAGTTTGAAGGAGGGAGTGGTATCTGCTGCACGCAAGCGCGCTGTTGCCGCATATTTTCATACCCGACCGTACTCGACTGTTTCACTACCGCTCCTTTTCGAGGCCACTTGCCGTGTTATGTTTCGTTTTGGCGTGGATTTATGGAAATTTATGTCAAATATTCGCTCGAATTGACTGGTTTGTACGACAGTTGCCGATCGCAAAAGTGTCAAAACGTGTTCAGTAGGTAAGTGTCTCAAACCGTACACTAGTTCAGTTCATTTAAGAATATTAAACGAATGCACCCGGTTTTTCATCATTGCGGGAATTCAAGATGGCTGCTTTGGCGACCGATTAATATGCTCGTTGAGTGGGGGTAATTGCTTACTTATGATCACTTGGGAACTGACATAAGCTGCGCACAACAACAAATTTATGTCATTTTTGAGCACTAGTAAGTCCGTGGGAGTAAGTGTGGTAAGCATACATCGGCGCAGAAGTTTGATAATCCACTAATTTATTCTAGTTGAGGATTTCTTAAAGCACTTTTGCGTCGACCGAACTTACTTTCACGACAACTTTTGAGAAAAATTATGCATATATAGGGTGGTTTATACGTATAGGTTATTAGGTTATTTTTGTGCTGTTGGGATGCAAATACTTTTGTTTTTTTTGTTTTAGTTTTTACTTTGGTAACATTTCTGTTACAATATTATTATGTATATGTATATATTATATACATATTTCTGTTAAAATCGGAAAATTGGCGAAATGAGAGTGGGGTGAGCTTACTTGGGAAGTTGTGGGTCTTATAAAATACGCGGTCCGGTCACAACTTGGGAAATTTTATAAAATACTATTCCGTGAGCAATCAATACGCGTCAAGGAGTGTTGCAAGCTCTACCTGAGATTCTGCCACCTGTAGTAAAGGTGTAAGCAGGGAGCTGTTGCTGATGCATAACCTCTATTTGAGGTGTATTTAATATTAGTGTATTTTATTTAATCAGTTTAGAAGGGAAGGGAAATTGCATAATGTGCAAGCTTCATCCACAGTTAACGAACTGGCATCTGCACCTGTTTATCCAATTGATTAGTAGATTTTTTTGTAAAATGCTTCCTTTTGTACGGGTTTTATCCAGAAACGGAACAAAGATCATGTGTGCTCCACAGTCCACAAAGAATTGGAAACGGTTGAGATTTTTTTTGGCGTTGGGATCATTAATCTTTAGGTTAGGCAAGTGTAGATAATACAAAACTAAATCAAAAGAGGAAGATGAAGATATAACACGAAAATCATCCAGCTTTTCTGTTGGATCAAAAAAATTAAGAACCAAAATAATAAAAAAGTGGATCGACAACTTCAATTAAGACATTAGTGGAGTTTATTGAAACTCAGACCAAAACTCATAAAAACTTTCGGATAGAATCCAACCCAAACCAAAGGAAAGTCCACAACATGGCTGATGGCGCACGCGCCGTGTTGCCGTTTCGTTTATAGGTTGTCGCGTTTCGGAACTCTCAAATGCCGTATCACCCGACGGATTTCGAGGCCACCGGTTTATTCCCTGTCCTTATTCTCGCTTATTACGTTGCTACTTCTAAGGAATTTACGTCGGTTTTGTAGAAACTTCATATACTAGGTGAGTGTCTGTGTAGTTTGGAGATCGTTCTGGACGTTTCGAGTCTTAGTAAAACTGACATGTTGACATTGCTAGAGGGAAAATCGCTATCAAATTAAAACGGGTTTCTGGGGGGGAACATGATGGGTTTTACATTGCTTGATTCGAAAGTTTTCGAGGAATAAACATGGACATTGGCTTGGTTGTAGAAGACTGTTTGATATTGATCATGCCTTTAATCTGAACGTATAGGTTGTGCTATGAGGAGTTGTTTGCGTATTGCATTTACTACATAACCTCAAAACAACACAAAATGCTTATAAAAGTTAAATTATTTTGTAAATGTAAGCGTTTGAATACTGATACTCATCCGACTTTTTTAGTCATTTAATTTTCTATTTTTGCTCGAATGTCTTCAACTTAATTGGGTTAGGTACCGTTGACGACCCATCAAAGCAGACGATTAAATAGCTGTTGTCTGAAGATTTAATTAGTTTAACTTTGACAAAATAGAAAGTCAGRTGACTTTCTACTTCGAWCGTAAATGTATAATCATGACAAATACATTTTCCAACTATCAAAATTGCACATACAGAAGTATTTGAAAAACCTCGAACAATAACATTAATCGAGGAAAGCTGAGAGATTTGGAAAACTGAAAGGCACCATTAATAAAATTGTAAAGAAATTCATTAGATTGTCAAATGTCAAAATACAGCAAGTTTGTGACATAAGGATATTTGACGTATTTAACACAGCCTGATTTACTAAAATCGGTAAAATCGTCTTTGGTAGTCGTCTGCTTTTGTGTGTCGTTAATGCTCAACATTCATTGTCCAGGCAAAAACTCTAATTTTCTTACCAATTTATTGAAATTTGAGACGTCATTGACAAGGGCCGGACATTCGGAAACGATTTGTGACAAAGTTTTACATCCGATATTCATTTGGATAAACAAATTAGGCGAGAGTCAAATTGCCATTTGGAAAATAGGAAACAACAATCAAAGTGTGCAGGTACAAAATGATTAAACTTGACAGGTACATCAGTGACAGACGCATACACAATGACAGATAGATACGTCTTTATTAACATCTCTACACCACGGCTGTATTAACTAGTTCCTAGTGCTTTCTGGAAGCCAAACTGCGCTCTATCAATATTTGCCTCACATTTATCATATATTCTTCTATGAATGGCTTTGGTGATGTGATTGATCGGGCAGGTGGTCCTCACAGTTCCACGTTTCTAAGATTTCTGATGACTCCGATATGAGGCGTCTTCCATCGCTGTCTTATGTTAATGGGTGATTTATTGAGGTTTTTTGCTTGTCATCTGTTCTATTTTTTTGTGCTTGTAACTCGTACTTATTTTCGTATTGCTCTATTTTCTTGAATTCGCTAGAAACCTACTTTTTTGTCTTCTCGAATTGTCTTGTGGATCTATTGGTATTTTTGTGAATTTTTATTCGTGTAATTACACCTTTACTCATATATCTCATCTGCCATCCATTCTCTCTTTTTCTGATTACCACGTTTCTAGAGTCGCACTAGTAAAGGGTGTTCCAATAAAAACGACGGATTTAAATTTTAAATAAAACGTATATATTTGAGGTATAAGTTTGAAACATTTATTGAAAAATGAAGTACACATCATGAGGTTATGAATGAAATAAGACATTGGGAAATGACTGCTTCGGCTTTGCTGGCACAGACGTGCTCTTTTCATGAAATTTTCAGGGACTTGCGCATAAATTTTGATATATTTCTGAGACACAGCGTTGAACTTGTGACTTTAAAAAACCCCAAAGAAAAAAATCCAAAGGCGTTAAATATCATGATCTGGGCGGCCAATGCCGATCTCCAAAACGATAAATAACACGACCAGGAAATTACTCGTGCAGTAATTCAACAGTTTCTCTGTCTGTATGGCATGTTGCACCGTCCTGTTGAAACCACATGCCGTTGAGATCCATATTTTGCAATTTTGGCCCAAAAAAGTTAGTTAACATTTTACAAAAATGGCCCGATGATGCCTCCAGCCCACCATACAGTGACTCTTTTAGGATGCATCTGTTTCTGAATGATCACTCGTGGATTTTTGGAACCCCAAATGCGACAATTTTGTCGATTAACAAAACCATCAAGATGAAAATGGGCCTTGTCACTAAAGATGTCCAATTGTCGTTGTTCCAAAATTCAATAAACAAACTTTCTTCGTTGCCCATGGTCTTCCGGCTTTAGCTCTTGAGCCAATTCATCCTTGTACGCATGAAGCTTCAATTTTTTTGTTAAAATTCGATGCATAGTGGTTGTGGAAACACCAATTTCCTGAGTTCTATGTCGAATTGATGTGGTTGGGCTATCCTCAACATTTGCTCGTACTGCTTCGATATTTTCAGTCGAGCGAACAGAATTTCTTCATTATTTTTCTCACAGTGGCTTCAGTTGGAGCATTCCGATGGCYCATAATTGTACGCATTTTGCGAAGTGTGGCTGCTTAACTTCCACCACTTTGATAATAATTTTTCACAATGAGAATTCGTTGTGTATTGATCAGCTCCCTTTTACAATTTGGAACACCCTTTAGTTATGTTGCATGYTTCGTGATCTCGTTAATTTCGTTTATTTCCTCTTTTCGTTGTTGACGCACTTTTACGTCGGTTTCCGGATTGGCCAGTTTCTTTATATCTATTGTGCTTGTCCAATTTTTCTCTGCATCCGTTTCAGTCACTACCATTCACACCACTAGACTGATCCGTAGAGACGTCGGCACCAGGGTATGTTTTTGATGCTTTTGCCACGTTTTTATGTCTTGTTGATACTGCTATTTAATCAATCTTTTGAGTCAAAATTAAAAAAATGTAATTACGTTTTTCATCGATAATAATTTGTAGCGCACAAGCACAGCATAGATATCATACAGCTAGGGCTCGGTGTCGCGTCGTTCTACTCGCGCAGCGTTCAATCCCCGCCTTTGGATTGAGAAGAGGATATTTTCGTGAGATCGGAATGTTTCTTGTACCAGCCTTTCATAGTCGCAGTTGTTGCGGTTAAATACGATTATGGCATCATATTAGTTTTCTTTGCCTTTTATTTAAAATACATCTGATTTGTGGTGTTTCTATGATGAGTGCAAGAAGAACAGGAGTTGTTTGTGCTGCTTTTGGTTGTAACAACAAAAG